GACATCTTTGATAAGGGTTTTACAAGGAACAAGTAAGCTTTTACAAACCATACTCTCAGGCAAAGCATATCTTTTCAGTCCTATACTTGATTAACACATACAGGGAAGGTCACTGTGCTTATTTGTTTTTTAATTGACTGAAAAAAGCATTTGATTCAATTGAGCAAATATTGCCTTATAGCACTTCCTCTAATAAGTTGACTCCAGCGCATACATAAAAGAGGTACAAAATTTCTTGAAAAATGAAACAATAGTGAATTCTTTGTTGGATGGCCCTCTGATTATTAATATCAGAAAAGTAATATAACAGGAAGAAGTATGTTCAAATAAGTGTTTGCCACTTTTATGAAGATGTCCAAATGGTAGTGGTATTCCTTATATATGAGAGATTATCTGGGCATTCTGTTTTCAATTGATATTGTGCTATCTGTTGTGCTAACTATATCAAGCTCTCAAACACTGCAGAATCTTTGAAATTACAATCATTAGTGACTTGTGTTCTAGAAAAGACCAAGTGGATAAAGAATGCCTATTGTTCAAATATATGATGACTGTTAGATGGGCAACCCATAGAACACATTTATCTTATCAATACACAAGCCTTGGAAAGATACCTCACATAGACAATTGAGTAGGTGCAGAATGGAGTAGGAGAGGCTGTAGAGCAGAGGAAACAGATTTGATTGATTTTGTGAAGTTTTGCAGTACTCAGAAAGGCTCCAAACCACCCATGAAATAAATATCTCTCTTTATAATACAGATATTTTTGTGATAATTTGTAATGCTGTGATTTATGTAATACCACCATCGTAGAAGAATTAATTTGTGGATCATCCAAAGGGTAATGGCAAGGTAAATGATGGTCTGAGCAGGTTGCTCTGTATTACCAATGATCAATAATGCAGGAGACATAGCACAAAGAGATGCATGATGACAACAGTTGATAGGATCACTAGGGTCACATAGCAAGAGCAAGGAATAATTGATGGATTAGCTTGCATGCTCCACTGATATCCAGTCAATTTCAAAATGTAGTGGAAGGTCCTCATGACGTTGGATGGGCTCCCTGAGAAGGATATAGACAGGTGGTGATTGTTTAGAGTTGCACAGATTGAGGCAAGGGAGGTAGAGTTCAATTTGCACTAATCAAGGAAGTATCCTTCTCAATGGCATCACAGATCCATGAAAATGTTGAAGTTTGTGAAGATCCTGTGATAAATACTGAAAATACAAATCTAAAAACCAAAACAGTTCTTACCCTTGAGCAGCTTACATTCTGCTGAGGACAGAGTAATTCGTGAAAGAACAAGGTCAAACATAATTAACAAAGTTTGCATTCTATAGTTTACAAAGCACTTTTCCTCACAAGGAAGTAAAGTAGGGTAGTACAAGTATCATCTCTCCATTTTAAAGATGAGGAAATTAAGATCCAGAGAGGTTTTTTAGCTTCAAGGAAGGAGAGTCTGGACTTGACCCCAGGTCTTCTAACTCCCCTCCCAATTTCTTTTTTTTGCCACTCTGTGCTGTGTCTGATTCATGAACTTTTCCATTATTAGTTTCTTTCTAATGTGGCCTTAGTTTACATATTTTGGCTACTTATGTTTTGCTCAATGTGATTTTATTTTTTTGCTCAGTATGATTTAAGTTATTCTTTAATATGCAATTGAGTGTTTCCTTATTATTACAGTGAGTGAGTACCATGAAATAGAATGGTTCATTGTGTTTATGTCGGCTTGGATAATAAATAAACCTTAATATTAATTGAAGGTGCATGTACTCTAGTGGATAGAGAGCCAGCCTTGGATCCATGAAGATCTATATTGAAGCTTCTGACACCTACTTTCTCCGTGACAAAGGCAAATTAAAAAACTCAATACCCCTAGATAACTTTATAAGACTATAGGTTACAAAGAAGTTACTGATATGATTTAGTGGAGGGAATTTTCAAACTGAGAGATACCTAAACAGATGAAATCACAGATTAGGATCCAAAATAAAATACAGAATTTGAGAGATGCTTTTTTCTAAATCTAGGGCTAATATTAAACTCTTCCCATACATAGAAGTAAAATAACCCATTGTATTGAGCTCATTTACCTTTTGGGATATTTGACAAAAGCTTTTCTTTGACCTTCAGTATCTTAAATGCTTAGCTGAGTGTCCTTTGTAGGCAAGCAATCTTAGATTTAACACTTTTTATTTGAAAAGCCTCTTTGGATCTTTAATCATTACCTCTTTTCAGATCTTTCTGTCCCTTTCCATCACTCATGTTTCTTTTATGATTAAAGTTAAAACAGAAACATTACAAAAGGATTATGGAAACCAGAAGTCACAAGGGAACTTAGAGGCCATTTGATCCAATCCCTAACTGACCGGGCACCACTTCTTCAACACCATTACTCATCTCTTCTTCCTCTCCTACCACGTCACCCTAACCTAGGGACTTCTATGGAGTTCCATCATACCTCTGCTTTATAAGAGGTTGTTTCCTGCTCAGAGGATTTAGTTTTCCTCTCTACAAGAAGGGCCTTATGACTTTTCTCTTTCTTCTCTACATCATATTATTTCACCTTCCAACCTTCTGCTGTAAGTTAGGATTGCCCGTTGCTACTTCCTTTATATTCTACTTGAATTGGCACATTCCTTTCTTTCAAGGGGCTCTTCATTCTCCTGGGGTTCCTGAAGAGATGAAGTTTTCCTGTTCTCTAGTTCAGAGACAAACTTGCTTGTTTTGTATACACTGGTTCTATTTGAGAAAGGCAGAAGCACAAACATGTCACACTTTTTGCAAATTTACTATAGCACTGGCCTTACTTGTTATACTTGCTTGAAGTAAAATCTTTAATACTTTGTTTCCCTTTTGAATTCCTCTTAGTTTACCTTAAAAAATTAACTACTAGGGTGAATTATCTGATTACTTTATGTATTCACTGTTCTGCAGGAAATGTTTCATAAATTTTGGGACCACACTATCCTATAGAATTTATTTAGAAGGTAGATTCATATAATTTCATATTTTAGTGTTGCAAAGAATTGTTTGCTCTTTTAATTTTTGTTTTTGGAACAGCGACAAAGACTAGGCTGGTCTAATATAAGGTTCATTATTTGTAAACTTCATTGCTACATAGTGGTCTGTAGGAGAGATTAATAATCTTTTTTTTTCTCCTGAGTTCAGTTTACAGGGATATCTGTGTCACTGAATACCACTGGAAATTAAAAGAACCAGGCCACAGAAAATGAGCTAGAGGGAAAAGAGGAAGGGAGAAAAGGATAATTCCATTCTATTTCCATTCCCTGTTCCCTTCTGTACCCTTTCTTCCTCTTCCTTTTACCTTCCCATCTTGTAGGTCAGGGTAGGTGGGAGGGAGAAAAAAATACTTGATAAGTGAAAAAATATTAAAAACAAACAACAAAACAATTTACTGGAAATGAATATGTATTTGAGCAGATAATTTGAGGGCCTTGAAGCTGGGTAGAAGTCATTTAGGCCAGTTTTCTTAATGTTTTCCACATCTTCATTCTAATTCCCAAATTATGCTCTTCACTCCTATTACCCTAGTCATGAATGACCCCTGTCTAATTTATCTGTACAAATTCTTCCATTCTTCAAGTCCAAACTTAAATAATACTCCCCTTCCTGAAAGCTTCTTTGTCTATATCCCCACTCTCCACCCTGGGGCCTAGCGTTTTTGGAGTATTTTATATCACTTCCCTTCATGTGTTCTTTCTTCCAGGCAAACAAATCCCACAAGTTGTTTCCCAGACTCAGTATTCTGTCTCCCACATTTTAGGCCCTTCTGACTACATGGTCCATTCTTCTTAGAATCCCCAGTTTCCTTCTAGCCTCAGTTCAGGTGCCACCACTTGGGAAACCTCTCCCAATCTTCCCCCTTTCCTACATGTAGTGGTCAATATCCTCTCCCTCCTAAAGTTACTTTATATTTATACATTTAGTATACACTTTGCATCACTGTAGTATAATTTAAGTTTCTTGAAAGCAATGTCTCTTTTTGCCTGTTTGTTTTTGTCATTGTAGGCCCAATGCCTGGCACATAGCAGGCCCTTGTAATTGTTTATTTGCAATGACTTAGATGAGAGTTCAGAGTTTTGGGTTCCCATGCCTGTTGTTAATTTTATGTGATTCTGTGTGTGTGTGTGTGTGTGTGTGTGCATGTGCATGCATGTGTGTGTGTGTGTGTGTGTGTGTGTGTGTGTGTGTCTACTTATAGGGAAAATTAATAGCAAATAGCTAACTAAAAGCCTGCTTGTTGTTTACACATTATGTTCAGGCCATGGGGGAGTCCAATTTCTGGTCCATATTATTAAACATCTTTGATGTTTCTTTGTAAATCAGTAATGCCTATTTATTTCCCATCTTTCCCAAAAGAAAGAAATTAAACTGAATTATAAGTATGTTATTTTCTGTTTTGAAATAAGAATGGATTTTTTTTTCTCCTGCGTTTTCTGAAATTCTGCAATGTTAGGCCATATGTGTTCTTGATATTCTTGTACCCTAAGGATAGCAAGTCCAAGCATATTACAAAGGGCCATGTCCTTATTGTCTGTGTCATTTGGTGCATAATGTTACTTGGAGAGTCAAGTGCTTTGGACAAGTTCTCGGGTACAGTGTTTATTGGGAGGTTTAATTTTCTCATCTCCAGAATAAAATGCAGTACTATACTTGCTCAAGGCCATAGAATTATCATAGCTCAGAGATGAAAGGAATACTAGAAATCGTATAATCTAAATCCCTAACCTCTAACTTGACTGATGAGAAAACTGAGGCCCAGAAACTTTACATGATTATCCCAAGGTCACATGACTAATAAATGGCATGGCTGAGGCTTGAAGTGGGACACCTCTGCATTATGTTGCCTCTTTTCATTGATCTCTAATTTTAAAAGAGTTATCCAGGAGACAAAGGGTCGAATACCATTACTCTAGCATCTGATCTTTGTTTCTTCTCTCCCTACCTGCCCTTACTTGTATTTTCATTTTAGAGGGCTCCTGAAATATCAAACTAATCTCGATGCACACCCTCCTGGCTGCCTCAGTCCTAATAGAACTCGCCACCTGAATATTCCCCTGCCACAGTATTTCTCGGAGCATGTTCCTGAACCCTTTCCTGGAGGATTTGTAAATCCTGAGCTGTTTATACAGAACGAGTTTGTGAAAATCTGTGCAGAGGAGCCCAAGTTCCAAGCAAATTTTCCTCAGGTCAGCTTAATCCTATATTTTTTGGTCATGCCAATGTTTCTGGCTGTGGACGTTGCTCCAGGCTGTGGCCAAATTGTACGGATCACTTGGTCTTATTGAAGTAATACATGTGTTTTTGTAATATTTTGTACTGTGAGTTAAAACTGTGCTGATTATGAGACTGGGTGGGATCCTTAGCAGTCTGTCTTTTTAAACCAGTGACTAAAACTAATAGGATTGTGCATGGATGACTGTTGCAAACAAAGAGTTGCAAAGGCTCCTTTCCGTTCTAGCCCATTTCTTTTACTATGTATGAATTCCTTCACTGGATACTTAGTTTCTCCTTCAAAAACCCGCTTTTGCTTTATTTTCAGCGAATGAACTGATGAGGAAATGTGCTTGTCTTGGCACAAAGATGATGGAATGGTGATGTTTTTCAGTATAGCCTATTTGAACCTTGTCATTAATGGCTCAACTCTATTGTATCTCAATTCTTGTATTGCACCTAGACCCCCTCTTCCCTCCTTTTCTGGCAAAAACCTAAATGTTTGCTCTCTGATTTCTTTGGCAAATATAAGCTATCTTCCATATGTTATGTTACCATGTTTTCTTGTGAACATTTTCCTCTGGAAACTGATTTAAATTTTTCTGGATATTTTCAGTCCTTGGTCCACTTTGCCTGCCTTTATAAACTTCATGACTCCAGCTGGAGCAGAATTACTTTAGGGTGGAGTGGTACGTTGTAGTGCCATCTCTGAAGCAAAGATGAGTGTGCTAGTGCTGCTTGAACACAAATTGAAAAATCCCTTAGAAGTGTCTGGAGGGTAACTAGGCAGACAGAGTCTCCACTCCATCGCCACCCCCTAATTGGGCTGATGTGTGCATATCTTCATGACTACAACTCAAAGGAATCTCAAAGGTCATTAAGTTCAATTTCTCTTGGCCCTTTAACCTTCCTTATTTTCCCTGTCTCCCAACTCTGGCTTCATTTGCCCTAATAATCAGTCTTGATTGCATGGTCTGCCAATTTAATGTTTCACGAGGTCCTACCCTTGAATCTCTTGCTTCTGTTAATGTTCTAAAAATTTTAACCTGCTCATCATAGCTTCTAGGGGACCCTTTCGTCCTCATTGTCAACACCCACATCTGTTTCTCTGTTTTCCTGGGTTGCTAAGCATAGCTGAAAAAGTCACAAAATCAAGATAATTTCACCCAATACAATTTCCAGTATTCACCACCTCTGTCTCTTTGCCTCCCTAGGCTATTTCCCCTTGTTTGGAATATATTCTTGATTCATCTCTGCCTCTTTTAATTGCTAGGTTCCAGCAAATCTCAGCTGAAGTGCAACTTCCTACATGTATTCTTTACTCATCCCCTTGGTGGTTAGAGCATTTCCACCCTCTCTCCAGAGGTTACCTTTGATTATATTCTTTGTGTGCTATATATCTATCTATATATTTATCTATCTATTGATCATATATAGAGGAGAAAAATCTATGTATATGGATGTAGATATGTAGATAAACATTTATATCTATATAGATATATCTACACATATATCTATTCTACATATGTTTTCTATAAAGATATATTTAGAATACATATGCAGACACATACTATATGTGTATATGTGTGTATATATGTATACACATATATAGGTAGAGAGAGATTTCTCTCTCTACCTATATATAGCTCATCTATCTATCTATCTATCTATCTATCTATCTATCTATCTATCTATCTTTCTATCTATCTATCATCTATCATCTATCTATCTATCTATCTATCTCTCTATCATCTATCTATCTATCTATCTATCTATCTATCTATCTATCTATCTCTCTCTCTCTCTCTCTCTCTCTCTCTATCTATCTATCTCTCTATCTATCTATCTACCTATCTACCTATCTATCATCTATCTATCTATCTACCTATCTACCTATCTATCTATCTATCTATCTATCTATCTATCTATCTACCTGTCTGTCTGTCTGTCTATCTATCTATCTATCTATCTATCTATCTATCTATCTATCTATCATCTATCTATCTATCTATCTATCTATCTATCTACCTATCTACCTATCTATCTATCTATCTATCTATCTACCTACCTACCTATCTATCTATCTATCTATCCATCCATCCGTCTATCTACCTATCTATCTACCATCTATCTATCTATCTATCTATCTATCTATCTATCTATCTATCTATCTCTATCTAATCTATCTATCTATCTATCCATCCATCTATCTATCTATCTATCTATCTATCTATCTATCTATCATCTATCTATCTATCATCTATCTATCTATCTATCTATCTCTATCTAATCTGTCTATCTATCTATCCATCCATCTATCTATCTATCTATCTATCTATCTATCATCTATCTATCTATCTATCTATCTATCTATCTATCTATCTATCTATCAATAGAAGCACATTTATAGACGTACATGTTGCCTGTGAGTTCTTTGAAGGAAGGGATCATTTCCTTTCTGCCTTTATTTCCTTAACATCTAATGTAGTGCTTGGCATACGACAGTGTTTACTGGTTAACTTCCAATACTAGTCTCTTTTTTACCACTTGACAGTCCTTCAGTTTTACTTCATTGACTCCCTTATTCCCCTCATTGACTGTGCCAAATCTTTTCTTGTCTGTTCACGTTTCCTGCTGCATAGTCAACCTAAGGCAGATAACAAATGCTGGTTATTAAAAGGGAGATCTCTCAAATAATGCTTTTCCATTCCTCAAGATCATGAGCAGCATCGCACATTCTCTCCTCCATCCATCTGCTCACTAAGGCTAAGCTCTCTACTTCTGTATTTGATGCCATTTTCTCCCTCTTCCTTTGAGACTATTTATGTTTTCCAGAATTCATCCTGTCATCGACAGACAATATGATTTAATGGAGAGGACATTAGATTTAGAGACAGGAAGACCTAGGTTCAAATCCTGCTTCAGAAACTTTCTCCATGACCATGAGCAGGACACTTAACCTTTCTGTTCCTCAGTTTCCCTATCTGTAAAAAGAAGGGCTTAGATTGGAGAGCTTATAAGATGCTTTCCAGCTTTAAATCTATTAAGATGTAACTTCCTTTAGAGTAGAGACTGAGAAGAAAGGAGAAAAGTGAGCAAAGGAGAGAATTTGGAGCTCAAATTTTTATTAAATGAATTGTTAAAATTTTGTTTACATGTAATGGAGAAAAAATAAAATAAAAGTTAAATGAAATTTTTATCTGGATGTCCCACTGGCACATCAAACTCAATTTATAAAAAATGGAACTCTTCTTTCCTTTTGAACCTGTCCCTCTTCCAAACTTCCCAGTTTCTGTGGTGGATACTACTGTCCTCTTTGTCCTCATGGTTTATAATTATGGAATCATTCTTAACTTCTCTTTATCCCTCAATTCCAACTTTCCCTTAGTTGCCAAGCATTGTTGACTCTATTCCACAACATAGTTTGCATAATTCTCTTCCTTGCTTTCTTTTGCCTTGTCCTTCATCCTAATTAACCTCCTTATCACCTCTCACCTATATTCTTGTGACTCTTTATTGATTCCCTTACTTCACTTTGTCTTCTCTTTAATTCATGCTCACACAGCTACTGAAATAACACTCTCAAGGTACAGATATAGTAGTGGTGGTGGTACTCTCCTGCTAATAATCCTTCTGTGACTTCCTATTTCCTCAATAAAACATCAACTCTTTACTATCATGTTTAAGGCTTTAACCTTCTCTTTAGTTCTAACCTACTCTTCCAGACTTATCTCATACTACTTCTCTTCACGTACTTTACAATACAGTGAAACTGGCCTACTCCTTGCACCTTGGATTTGACATTCCATTTCCATTAGAGAATGGGCATTTGTTCCTTTCAGGATTTGTATCTTCCCTGAAGACTTAGCTCAGGTGTCAAATATTGCAAGATAACTTTCCTGTCTTTTCAAGTTAATATTTTCTCTCTCTTCAAATTATCTTGTAGTTGTTTATCTGTGTGTAATCTCTTGTGTATGCTGTACTTCCACCTCTCAACCTTCCCCCGCCCAGTAAGATATAAGGTCCTTGAAGTCAGGAGCTATTTTAATTTGGTCTCTGCATCCCATTTTCTAGCATAGGTTCATATAGATACATAATAGATACATAGATGTTAAATTGAATTTAAAAATGAGTTTTTTTAATCTAAATATAAAATGTATTATATATACTATTAAATATATATAAAATGTATTTTATATATATATATAAAATGTATTATATATATATATATAAATAAATGTATTATATATATATATATATATCTAAAAAAATTTATCTAATTGCTCTGGCCTGTCAGAATTTTAGGCTCTGATTTTGTCATCCAATATGTAAGCTACAGACTTTCCCCTAAGTTTTTGATTTCAGTCATCTTTTCTCTCTGTTTCATTCAGAAGAATAGAAGTAGAATACTTCTCATGTGCTGAGCATTTAACATTCCCCTATTCTCCCAGCCTAGTGATAATTGTCCAAAATAGAAAAAGAAAATAGTTGGTCTGGCATGGCATGTTCTTGATGAAGCAAAGCTAATGTTACTTTTATTTTACTTTACTTTCTTTTAATCTAAATTTATTTATACATCAATAATACAGGCTGGGCTGGTGACTGTTTTTTAAAAAGAAAACATAAGAAAAGGAAAACTGTCTATAATACAAATTCATGTTCAGATGAGGGAGAAGAGAGGATTTAGGAGTGTGTGTGTGTGTGTGTGTGTGTGTGTGTGTGTGTGTGTGTGTGTGAAGATATACACATAACCACATATACAGATAAGATGAAAGGAAGGGAGGATGGCCAATCAGAGTCTGGGTTCTTGTCTAGTTATGTGCTTCATGTAGGTTTCCAGCATTTATTTTTTCCAAAAGCTATCTTGTTTTCCAGGAGCTCAGAAGCATGTATGTATAACAAGTTATCAATATTCAATTCTCCCACTGTGTACTGGATAAGCAAGAGGATGTCCTGACCTCATACAGGGCTAACCACTTTTTTTGAGGATGTTCAAGCAGATTATTTTTGGTGTTTGTTTTTGGATGGTAACAGTGTGACAAACTTGAAAATAAGAGCATTACCAGAGTAACCACTGGGAAACTATACAGAAAATTTGTACTGTATATTTTTATTTACTTATATGAGGTGACAACTCATTTGAAAAGATTGACTATGAGAAGGCAGCAATTCTTTTGAATCTAGACAACAGTAGAGTCATCAATTCTTGCTGTAACATCTTGCCATTTCCCCCCTGCCCCCTGCCACTAGCCTTCTTGTGAGGAAGTGGTTGGGTAAAGGGAATAAGTATTTTTTAAGTGCCTACTATGTGTTACACATTATGCTAAGTATATTACTAATGTTATCTCATTTGATTCTAAGAACAATCATTTGAGGTAGGTTCTATTATTGTTCCCATTTTACAGTAAAAGAAACTAAGGCAGCCAGAAACTAAATTACTTGTCCAGGTAACATAGTTTGTAAGTATCTGAAACCAGATTTGAACTCATTTTCCTGCCTCTAGGTCCAGCATTCTATCTGCTGTGCCACTTAGCTGGCTCATTGGTAATAGCGGCCAGGTCAAGATGTTGGGAGACCAATGCAGAGGGCAGTTAGAGAAAAAGAAATATCTGGGAAACAATTACCCATGGTGACTTTTAGTGACCAGTAATTTCTTTTTCTAAATAATCATAAGTAATCCGTTCAATAATATGTTCCAGAATTTTACCAAGTATTTAACTTAGGCTCATTGACCTATAATTTACATCTTATACCCACTTCTGTTCAGATTTTGAGTTTTTTTTTTCTTTTTGGGAAATTGGGACATTTGATCTCCTCCATGCCTGCACCAGGAATATTTCTTTAAGATATTTCAATGGTCATTAATAATTATTCAGCAATCATATGTGCCATTTATTTCAGTTCCTTGAAATGTAATCAATTTGTGCCTAGTGATTTTAATTCAGGAAAGACAGTAAGATGCTACTTCTTTACATCTACTGGATTTCTACCTCCTATTAAGCATTGTTGTTCATATTTTCCAGTTCTAAGATCATTATACTTGAAAGAGAAAACAGGAGCAAAACAGATACCAAGTAGTTCAATCTTATCATTGCCTCATCCATAGTTTTTAGTGGATTGTCCCCTTTTATCTTCTTAAAGAAAAAAACCCTTGTTTTAATTGTTCTTAACATTCTTTGCCAGCCTTACATCACTGTAAGCATAAGTATTCCTTACAAGAAAGTACTGCTCATTTTTATTCATACTTTGATACTTCTCCTGGCTTCCATATTCTGTATACTCCTTGTAAAATACTAGGTTGGTGGATGAGTTCATTGTGCAGCACGTCAGATATTTTAACTAGTTCCTTCTGGTCATTGGAATAAATTTTCCTTGCATCTTCAGAATTTTTGTTGAAAGCTTCCCATCTTCCTCTCCAGAATTTATTAGTTCATTGGATCCTACTTGTTCTTTCTCTGTACCTTTTTAATCTGATCCCAACAAATCTAGGATAAATGCCAGGTTACTCCTGGATTTCTGATTTTTTTTGCTATGACAAATTCTGCAGTTAAGTGATAATTTGTCTTCTAAATTCTTTTCATTTGTGCTTCCACAAATGGTTGTTGGCCAGATTCAGGTCCAGAATAGCTGTTACCATCATTACTTCCTCCATTTTTTGAATTGTTCTTCAAGGAAAATAAAGACTTTCTCAGCCTCTCCAATTTTGGAAGAAAAAGAACTCGAAGAGATATCAGGATAATTCAAGTTCCATATTAATATATGATGAAGCCTAGATATCACATTTGTGATTTGTTTCTAGAAACTCTCTTCTAGTTTTTTTTCTTCTATATATGTGCCATATACTTCTACAATAACCCACTTCTGTTTTTGCCTCCACTGACCTCCACTTACTTGGCCCTTACCATTTTCCCTTCTTTGGTTTCTGGAATCTCTAATATGGACGTTTTCTTTCTATATACTGGTATTTGATGCTCTTTTGATTTATGCCTTTCCTTGTGAATAAAGTAGACTCTTATTTTGAGATATTATCAGTCATAATTCCCATGACACTAAGTCTCAGGGGTCTATGCGACGTACAACTTTCCATTTACATACTTCGAAATTATAAGAAATCAGTATAAATGGTTACATTTTATTTCATCACTCAAGGAAATACCATTGAATTAATTAAACTATGTATGTGAAAATAATCTCCAGGGATGTAGGACACGATGAAATTTGCCTCCATAAAGGATATATCCTACAGTTATTCTAATATATCTATCTATCTCCATCTCTATCTCATCTTTATCTGTATTCATATCTATATCTAGCTATATGTTTTATGTCTATCTAAAATATACATGTATATGTGTAAGACAAGATGGACTTTGCAGCTCTCCCTCACTTAAATCCAGTTCAAATGTGAGTCAATAACACCCATGATATCATTGGTCCTCCTCCAAAATGAGTGATGAACTACAACAAAATGTGTGTGTGTGTGTGTGTGTGTGTGTGTGTGTGTGTGTGTGTAATAGACACAAGGTGCGTAAATATATATACATTAACACATATTATATGTGTCTATACATATACATAAATATGTACACACATATGTATTTCATCAAGTAATAAGCATTTCTGAAGCCTTTTTTTAATACTTGTTGGCATTTTTAAGCCCCGCATCCCATGACTTGTACATAGTAGGCAGTTAAGACAGTATTGCTCAATTGAATTAAAAGTGATTCCTCAAAGCATATTTGCATGCTATGTTTTTAAATCTATGCCAAGGAGATTGTGTAATATCTATTAATATGCTATGAAAGCCTGGGTGTATTTGAGGACTCTCTGGTAATGAATTAGGTCAGTGGAGCAGTTTTTTTTTTCCATAAAAAGCATTGTGTGTTAGAATAAAGGAAATACTTATTTGGGATGTTGAAAGAGTTGAGAAAGAGGGATGGATAGAAAAGAAGAGTATGAAAGGGAGCATGATCTAATGGAAGAGCTTGCAATCATATGAAAAGTGAGTTCATCCTTCCTCTTACATTTAGTAGCTTGGTGACTCTAAGTAAGATACAACTTCTCTGAGTCTAAGTGTCCATAACTTCAAAACTGGGATAATAATACCTGTACCACCTTCCTTAAAGGGTACTTGTAAAGCTCAAATGAGGTAGTAAGTGTCAAATGGCTTAACATAGTACAGATGTCCTGCTTAGAGATATTGGAGAGTGACCATTAAAATAAGTCCTTTTGGCAGCAGCCAACATTTGATAATTAAGATTATTAGACTAATTTCATTTCCATATAATTTTTAGATTATCTATATTCATAATTTAAAACATTTTACAAAGGGTTTATAATATGAGTGTTTCTGAAGTATTTTTCTTTCCTCTCTTTTCTTATTTTTATTTAGACTTGGCTTTGGATTTCATTACCATTATGCCTCTATTGTGCTGAAAGGCTTTACAGGTGCATTAGAAGTAATAAGCCTGTGACAATCATTTCAGTCATCAGTCATCCATCAGATGTCATGGAAGTTCGAATGATCAAGGAAAACTTTAAAGCCAGACCTGGCCAAGTGAGTTATTCCATATAGTCTAGCAAGAATGTTTTTAAAATTTAATTTTTAAAAATATTGAAATATTTTAACTTTTTTCTTCATTTTTATTGCATTGCTTCCTTCTAGTATATTATTCTTCACTGTCCAAGAGTGTCTGCACTAGAAAACCATCCATTTACTCTTACAATGGTAAGAACTTTTAAGTTTTTGCATTCTCTTTTCTTAGAGAAATTCATCATTAGATGATTAGCCTGTCTTGGGCTAGAATTATGTTTCTTACTAAACAAATTGGAATTATCAATGCTAATAATTCAAGTTCTATTTGTTTTTATACCTGGACAGGTATATAGTTACAGTTCATTTCTCTTATTTGACATGTCAGTAAGGCTAAGAACTAAAATTCCTTCCAGCCTATTGACTTTGTATAAGGTAAATTTTTCCACAATCTCCTTTCAGCTTACTTTTATTTACTTAAATTCAACAAGCACTGTTTACATAATTACCATGTGCAAGATATGTTGCTAGGCACTTGGGGTCCAAAGAGGAAAAAAAACAGCCTTTACCCTCAAAAAGCATACGTTCTGTTTGGGTAAAGGATTTATACACACAATAATTAAGGTATATATACATACATACACACACACACACACACACACACACACACACACACACACACATAGACAGTAAAGGCTTTGTTTAAGAGGTAACTTTTGAGCTGAGCTTGCTCAGTATTTCTGAACGCCTCCAGCTTCTAATATTTGTCAATGAATAGTATGTATGGAACAATAAATTCGATTTTGGGCCTTTTACAGATCACAAACCACTTTTACCCAGATTACGCCAAATTTAAAGTAATTTTGTTCATAGTATTTCTGAAGAATCTGGGCCAAGATTTTTCTATGTTTTATATTTCATTTTCATGGTAAATTTGATTATTAATGAATTAAGGAAGATAGCCAGGGGTTTATGTGGGATAGTAATGATGTTCTTTAATTTGTAGTATCAGCCTACCATCAGCTAGTCATGCACATCCATTTCTCTTTCCAATAGTGATATTAAAACAGTAGGATTTGTCCACACTCTCATCTGTTCCCTGTTGTCATTTTTGGCACCAATTTGTGAGCTGTCTAGCCAGGGTCAAAGGGCCTTTGGTTGCCATGGCACAGAAGCAATGCGAACAGGATCACATGATGATGAAACCTAGGACCTTTGTCTCATTCGCATGGATCTCTAATCATGAGCTAGCCAACCATGGAGAGAGGGTGGCTAGATCAGTCCATACTTTTTGCTTACACCTCTAGAAAAAAAATCAAAGTACACATCTGACTTATGGCTGCTGAATGGTCTCCCCTTTGTTATTGCAGTAGGTTTGCTGAAATATCTTCCTGATTGCTTTTGGGGCAACTGATAAAATACTCTTTTTCTTAGTCTTTGAAGCCATTCTACACAAGAATGAATCTAAAATCAAGAACAGCTGGAAATCATGGTCTTTGACTAATTTTGATGATTTTGAAGATGACATATTTTTATAGCCATATTACTTGGGAAATTGCATTCATTCAAGAAACATGTCATTAATAACTGAGTTTGATGAGCAAACTGAATGTAGAAAATAAGTAGGGTCTAATTTAAGTAGTTTGAGAAGTTTGAGGCTTATCATGGGATAGTGTGGGGGGGAACATATCTGCTTCAGGAATATGCTTTTATTCAAATTTGTTGCTTTGAAAATTTTCCCCCCAAATCTACCTGTTGAAATCATTTCTTTCTACAAGAACCAGCTCAGGTTTCCTTTGCTCTATGAAGTCTTTTGTGAAGTCTCACTCCCCTATACCTCCAGCACCACTACTACTCACCAACTGTTAAAGAGATCCCTGCTTCCCTGAATTTTTCATGCATCACTATTTGATATCTCATATTCTCTGGTCTCTAACTACTCATTATTTGTGTATGTGTTTTATATCTCTACTAAAACTGGAAATAGTAACTGTGCCATTTTCATTTTTGTAGCTACGTCTTAGCACAGTGCTATGCATGTAATGGGTGCATAATAAATATGGAATTAATTAGTTTCTTCTTCAGAAATTTAATCAAAGGAGATAATACAATCATTTGGTCAAGTAAAGTGGGATTAATTTTTATTTCACGGCATGGAAAGTCAATTAATTTTGAAATGCATTCAGTCTTCAAGTAGATTATCCCTTATTCCTGCTTTTTCAAAACAGTGAATCCAGGCAGTTCAGTTATTGTTGAATGTCCCAAGTTATATTGGTGTTGTTTGGGCATAGTTATAAAGTCTGTAATCTTGTTTTTAGCCCTAAGGCTTCTTGATGAGTTATATAATACTATTGAAGCTGCTGGCAGGTCTGAATCTTGGGAGATGCCAAGAAGAAAGAGAATCATAGCCTGAAAAGACTGAGGGAAAGGGAGACACCCTTCCTTTTGGTAATGGTGGGAAATGATATGGATAATTGTTCCATCAAATTGAACAACACAGATTGCTACCTTTGGCAATATGGTATGGAATCTTAGAGAAACTGATTGTTTCTAGAAGCAAATTTTGCCACATGACCATTGGTATAAATCTCTCTCTATCTTTCTCTCTATCCTTCTATATACATATGTATGTATATTTTTAGCTGAATAATCAAATAGGTGCATCGAGAGGAGGGGTAATCTTGTTGTAAAGGCAAACAAAGTAAACATATTTGCCAGATGGCCCTCAGATTCCTGATTCTGCTGAGAATGAATACTCTCAGACCACAGTACTGTTAATTCTGTTTTTTACAGGGAATCATCAAAGGATATAGGAATTATGGATACCTGATAAAAAAAAATCAAACCCATTAGAAGGCAGATGGGCTCCCCTTGATACTTTCTGTCCTCTATAGAATCTTTTCTGTGAACAAAGAAAGAAGTGCTTTCTTTTCCATAAGCTTCTGGCAGACTTGGGGGAAGGAATTTCTTTTCCTTCCTTTCTTTACTTTTCTAAGCTCCAGTTCACATATTCCATAGGAAGGAGACATAATACATGTCTAGCTCTGTGGGAGGTACCACAGTTTAGCAAATATGGGTCTCCTATATACAAATACTTAGTATTATATACAAAATAAATACAAAGTGATTTGTGACAGAAGACAGCTGGGAGCATTTGGCCAAGCTTCACACAGAAGGTAGTATTTGAGCTGAGGTTTGAGGGAAACCACATTGTAAGACTCAGAAGAGAAAGTGGATTTCAGGCATGGGATCTAGCCAGTGCATGAAATGAGAAATGGAGTATCATGTACAAGCAGCAATAAGAAAGTCTGACTTCACTGTAGCTTATTTTAAAGGGACTAATATATTAAAAATCTAGAAAGGGGGCAGCTAGGTGGTGCAGTGGATAGAGTGCTGACCCTGAGGACCTGAGTTCAAATCCGGCCTCAGACACATAACACTTACTAGCTGTGTGACCCTGGGAAAGTCACTTACCCCCATTGCCTAGGCCAAAAAAGAAAAAAAAAAGTCTAGAAAGGTATGCTGGGGCCTGATTGTAAGGGTACTGAATACTAAAGAGAGTTCATATTTATGAGTAGGAGTAAGAGAAGGTATTAGCATTTATTAAGTAGGGGAATGACAAGGTCAGACAAGCACTTCAGGAAAATCTCTTTGGTAACTGAGTGGAGAATGAATTAGAAGATGAAATGATGACATAAAGCCCAGTTGATAGACTATTTATAGTAATTCAGTGTAGATGTGATGAAGGTCTGAACTGGGGAGGAGTAGTGGTGGTTAGGGGGGAAAGGGGAGAGAAGAAAGAGGAGATATGGAGACAGAAAGATCTGGCAATTGAGTGGATTTGTGTAGTGAATGAGAAATCAAGGACCACACTGAGATTTGAAGGATGACTGCTTGGGAGCATAACTGCCCTTCAGAGAAATAACGCTGTTTGGGAAAGGGGCACGTTTTGGAAGAACAACAACAAATTCTCTTGTACACATGTTAAATTTGAGATTCCTAATGAAAATACAGTTCAGAATGTGCCATAGACCCTTGGTCATTTGAGACAGGAGCTTAGGAGAGAGGTTAGGTTGAGGTATATAATTCTAAGAGGTATCTACATAAATTTATAAGTAGCTAAAACTACCAGAAATTGATGAGGTCACCAAGTAAGGGAATATAGAGAGAAGAGAAGAAGGTCCAGGATAGAACCTTGGTATAAAGTCATTGTTGGTGGGTATAATATGCATAATGAACCAGCAAAGGAAACTGTGAAGTGACAGTTACACAATTAGGAGAACCAAGAGAGAGTAGTGGTGCTTAAGCCCAAAGGGGAGGGAAGAGTGGTTAACAGGGTCAATCTGCAGAAAGGTCAAGGAGGATGACAATTGACAAAAGGCCATCAGATTTGGCAACTTTTTGGAGAGAATAGTTTCAGGTGTGTGATGATTTTGGATGTCAGTTTGAAATGGATTAAAAAGTGAAAAGAGTGGAAGTATAAACAATAAGTATAGGGAGTATCAACTGGACCAAACCTCTTGGTCTGTGGAGGCTGGAGCTGAATAGACAGAGCAGGCAAGAACAACGGTGCAGAGACTAAGACAGAAGTTTATTTTCTATAGTGAGGGAAATGGTTTGCAAGCAAGGAAGGAAACTAGATACTTGAGCTGCCCTCTCCCCATCCCCCGGGCAAATTTCACTACATGTACCAATGACTGCACAGTGGACTCTAGCCCTGACAATGAGGAGGAACAGCAACAGTGAGACAAATTTGATTCATAACAGGACTTTATGACCAGAACGTGGATCCTGCAGGTGCTTATCTGGGCTCAGAGAACACCTGGTGCTAGTGAAAGCAATATAATAATCATGTGAAACACTTTTGGGATTTTGCTATGACTGAGATCATCCAGAGAGTGAGTGCAAAGGATTGTTGTTATGCCAAGTTCAGGGCACAGTTTGCTTGCTGGGCCTTAGCTCTGGAACACAGGGTGTTTCCTAATAGTATCTTAACAGCAGCATTTTCTTTGAGTTTAGTTGAGAAAGTGAAGAGCGATAAAGGTGATGAGAGGGAATGGTAGGGACTGCTGACACTTCTTTAATCATGGGGGAGACTTGGGAATATTTGTTGGCATCAGGGAAGGAGCCATAGAAAGTGAGAAATTGAAAATATGAAAGAGGAGAGGGGGAAGAAAGAAGGGGAAAAATATGGA